TTCAAATCTTGACAAATTTTGGGCAAAATTTGTGAGGAGCTCGAGGAAGAGAGGGGAAGAACAGAGGAAGTGAGGGGAAAGGGGAAGAACAGAGTGGCTCGGATGGACGAAGGGTTTATGTACGTCGACCTTTAGTACCGGTTCGTACCACGGACCGGTACTAAAGATGCTGGAGGGGCCCTAGACTGATAACACCCTGCCACCACTCTCTTTAGTACCGGTTCGTGGCACGAACCGGTGCTAAAGGTTCGCCATGAACCGGTACTAATGAGAACGGCCGGCTAGCCGTTGGAACCGGCACTAATGGACACATTAGTGCCGGCTCAAAATCAAACCGACACTAATGTGTCTCATATTAGGTCTTTTTTCTACTAGTGTATTGAGGTAGTAACATAGTCTAGGGAAATGTGTATGTTACTAGTGTATGTTACTCTCTATTGTGGCTAGTCTCAGCTCACGGTGGTCGTCATTGAGCCGCCGAGCGCTTTCATCAACTCCACCTCAGCAATCCAGACCGTCCTCTTGCGAGACCTTGGTCACCTAGTCGTCGAGACCGTTTCGGTGGGTGTCTTCAGGATCAAACTTTACTGCTTCTCGAGCCAGTTTGGCATGATAGAAAAGGAACGACCCCGATCGGGATCGAACTTGTCATGTCCATCTTCTATCCACCCCTCTCCACAAGAAGGCGTACCCAGGACCGAGGCGCTAGGCAACGGTCGCTGCGAGTTGTCCGTTCAGCGCGTCGGCGCGGGACCAGGGGAAGGCCGTGACTCAGGCAGTAGGAATTGGAACTGATGAGGAAATCGAGAAGGCCGAGGAAACGTCGCCGGCCTACCCAACTGAAGATGAGGAAGAGAATGGCGTCAAGGTGAGCTGTTGCACGTGGAATAATCACGCCAAGGAGTCGAGTTCGATCGAAAAAAGAGGAGTTCGGGAGGATGGCCTGGGTTGCCTATCCATGCCGGATGTGAGAACCATGTTAGCAGCACTGCAATGACTACCGGGGCGTGCTGAAAGATAGGAGGGACATACTCCTTGTCGAGCCACCTGCAGGAGGCCAAGAAATGGATGCCGATGCTCACGCGGACGCCCCTACCACAGGGGGGAGTCGCCCGGCGTCGATGGACGACGCTGGATTCGAGGACATTGAGTCGCCACAACGATGAAGGGGCTCCTACGACAAGGACATCAAATGCAACAGGAAGCAATGACGGACCTATGTTGATGGCCGGGGGGTGTGGGTGGGGGGCACTGCCCCAGCCTTGTGATATTCTCTCAAGAAATTTTTTCTGTAGCTACATGCACAAAAGATAGATTTTTACCCTTTCAAGAGTTCATATTTTGTCATTGTCCCCTAGTCATCCTAAGCTAGCTCCTCCACTGACAGGAAGCTCATCGGTGCCAATAATTTCTTTGGCTTCGGACCACCTTTGGACGTTGCCGACGGGCACGACACTCACGTGATGTGACGACCATCACGAGCGACAACTTCCTCCCGTCAATGGCCTCGCCAATGGCAACACATCCAAGATGACTCCACAGGCGCACGTCTCCATCTAGGGGGCGTGCTGCCAAAGGGACTGGCCCGACGAATCACTGATGTCCGCTATCCTTGCGGCGGTGGATGATGGTGTCGACGTCATCTTCCCTCGGCGGAACCTCCATACCGACGTACAAACACGACATGATAGTCGTGGCCTCCTTCGCTGCCATGCGGGCTGGCGTCCTCGTTGTCGTTACCCCGGCAACAAAGGCCCACGTCAATCGACTGTTCACAACAACGTGCCTTGGCTTATGATCGTGGGAGCCGGCACCGTGGACCTGTCACTGATGGCCAGGGTTGTCAGTGATGATGTGTATGCCGACGATGTGGTGTTTGGCCAGTCGCTCGCCGATAGGCATGGCTGACGGCAGTTCGACCAGAGGTCACACACGATCTCCTCTACAACGACGACGGGGATCGCGCCAACTACGTGTATCGAGAAGACGAGATGCCGGTGCGTGTTCCGAGCATGAACAGAGCTAGATCAGTCGTGGGTGTACATGTGTACACCCATTATTTCTGTTTAAGAAAGAGTATATAGGTACATGGGATAAACCATACAGTTTAGTAAATATATGATTAAATTTATATATGGATGCTCCAAAACAAGTATATCTGATGGAATCCCTTGCATATAGTTAATTTGTACCCTAGAATATTCTACGGATATGTTTTCCTAATCGTATAAAACAATCACATTCGATATGGGTTAAAGCATATATTTATGTACTTATAAACTACTCCCTCTGTTCCTAAATGTAAGGATTTATAGTGATTCCAATACAGACTACATACGAAGCAAAATGAGTGACTACACTCTAAAATGTGTCTATATACATCCGTGTGTAGTCCGTATTGAAATATCTAAAAGGACTTATATTTAGAAACGAAGAGAGTAGATAATTTGAAGTATAAATAGCTTATTAAAATCCATTTTTTACAAAGTACAAATTGAATTCAACACAATCGCATGAGTGTTTTTGAATCATATATACATTACAAATATATAATATATAAATAATACAACTAATATTTAACTTTGTTATGTGGTTAAGTATGCCAAATAGGTAATGAAAAATTATAGTCTTTAACATTGCAGAATGTAAGTATAAAATTTTAGTACAAAATATGTATATATCAAGAGGAGCGGGCCGATAGTTGAGACGAAATTTGCTGAGTGTTATGTACACTCAAATTTGAAATATTAGTTGTACCATTGTTTCCGGGTTGTCTTGTCATTTGTTAGACCGGCGGTGAAATGAGACGGAGTAGTAACGTGTCAGCGATCGTTATGGTGGACCCAGAGGTGTGTGGATACACCCGAAGCTTGATGGACATAGGAAACCGCCCAATTCTTCAGTGTCTTATAATGATGATGGACATTTGAAGGCCTACTCATTTCGCCGCCCCCTAGGGCGGTCGTCGACTACACCGTCGCCCCCGTTCTGGTTGCTACTCTGGCCCCCGTAGTGGCCTTCTTCTCGTCCACGGCCCGAGCTGGTACTTCACCGCCATGCTGAAGCTCGACCTACTGGCACCCGGGGTTAATATCCTGGGCGGGATGGCATACCAGGTCAAGAACGATCCTGTGTACTTTGGGTTCATGTGGGCCACCATCATGGGAGTGTCACAGCCATCATGTTGAAGAGCCTGCATCGGAGTTGGAGTCTGGTCACAATTAAGTAAGAAGATTTAGGGAGCATGTCCACTAACTGAACTGGGTAGCAATTGAAGAAAAAAAAACCCAGCAATCGTAGTGATCATTTTTGAATTTTATGATTTGCAGGTCCGCGCTCATGACAACGGCTGACATAGTCGACAACTCCGGGCATCGTATCCAAGACGACCAGCTATCCACTGCGAACGCGTAAAAAATGGGAGCTGGGCACGTCAACATGTGCAGGGCCATGTACCCTTGGCTCGTGTATGAGCGGTACTATGCCGCCCATGTCTGCTTCACGCTCGGTGAGGCCGCACTTTGGGCCATTTCGTGCAATGACTCGTGGAGATGGTCCGAGCTTCCCACCACGTGCCCGTCCAAACTCAACAACCCGAGCATCATGGTCCCGCTGCAACCAGCGAGGTTCTCCGTGGTGAGGATGCTGACGAATGCCGCGCCTCCGGGGACGCCGAAGACATACATGACCAAGGTGGACATGCCCCCGGAGGTGCGCGTGACCGTCGACCCAAACAGGCTCACGTTCACCTATCCGGTGCAGGAGGCTTCGTACAGACCTCGGCCAGCAGCATCGGCAACTCCTCGGTACAAGGAGTTGTGTACCAGGACACTGTCGAATGGTCTTCAAGTGAGCACATGGTCACAAGCCCCAGCTCGCCATCGTCGGCCTAGCTATCTCTCAACCATCCATGTTGTGGAAGCTGGACTGAGAAATTGGGACGGGTCGATCGTCCACCTCTGCGTTTCTAGAATTTTCTTTTTGTCCCGATCGAACCGGGGGCCGACCAACAACAAACAGACCCCGGTTCTAAGTCGTGGTACCCTAGAGAGCGGGTTTAATTTGCTAGTTATGTTTATGTTAACTATGACGAATCTTGAGACCATAGTTTTTTGATTGATTTTCAAAATTTAATTATTTTCACCTAACAATGAATTCCGGTGTTTTGCGATATAATAATGTTCCATAAATGATAGTTATATATCAAACCTTTTTATCCTGTTTTTTTATTGCATACATAAATAGATTCTTCGACTTTGCTTTTTATTTTGAAAAATGTACCATAAAGCATAAATATGAGAATGATATCTTAAACTTATTTATCCTAAAAGTATTATTTTATATATAAATAAGCGATTTTGTTTTTTTTTGAACCACCTGGATTTAGCGACAGATCCGAACGATCTGACTGCTGTTCGTTTCTCACGTGATCCGGATTTATCGCTCCAGCCAGCGGAACTTTTTTCTTGTTTATCCCACCGCTCTCGTGCAAAGTACAAATATGAGAATGATATCTCAAACTTATTTATCCTAGAACTATTATTTAATATATACACGTATTTTTATCATAGCATTTTTAATTTTTAATTTGATGGCATTTTTATTATACTGAAAAGAGCAACTTCCTTTTTTGTATTGATTTTTAAATTTTTAAATTTTTGGTTAAAATACTGGCTTTGTTCACTTTTCCAATTAGCAGTTTTTGATATCATTTTTTAATAGGTGTGGCAGTTTACGCATTATTTCTTAATTGGAAATTTATATTATTTTTCTAGACGTGACAATTTGTTCTTGAGTGATTTTTTGTTTTAGACAAATAAAATATAAAACTGCTTGCTAGGCCTGGTTGCTAGGCCTTGTCGGCCCAGCGTCGTCCCCTCTCGGCCCAGCCTGCTCCAAGAAAAGGGAAGCGAGGGCTGCGACCCGAGTGCGATTGTTTCTCCCCCTTTCCCCTCAGCGCCGCCGGTCGCCGCCGCCACCCTCACCGCCCGCGACGAGACATGCCCGCCGGCCGGAAGCGCCCAGCTCCATCCCCGTTCGCCGGCTTCTCAACGTTCGCCCGCTCCCTCCTCTTCTCCCCCGCCTCCGGCTTCTCAAGGCTGCCGCTCACCAATGCCGGCCCCGCCGCCAAACCCCATCAAGGTAAGCTTCTGAAGCCCCAACTCCTCCTCCTACTGCACCCTCCTCTCACGCCTCGTCTGCTCGCCAGAGACCGCCGCCATGCCGCCGCCCCCGCCCAAGCGCGCGAAGCAGGCCGAGCCCTCCAGCGACGACGAGCGCCCCAGCAGCGACGCCGACCAGGAGCTCTCGGGAAGCGACGGCGACGGGGACAGCGACAGCTCTCTGGAGTGCTCGAGCAGCGACGACGGAGAAGACGCGTCCCAGGAGGTGCCTGACTCTTTCCTCCTCTTGTGTTGATTTACTGTTTCACCGGCAAAGTTTGGTGATTTGCTCCTCGTGTTGGCGGCGCTTGCAGATGGAGACGGTGCAGGCCGACTTCGCCTTCTTCGACCCCAAGCCCACCGACTTCCACGGCGTCAGGCTGCTGCTCAAGACCTACCTCGACTCCAAGCCCTGGGACCTCACCGGCTTCGTCGACCTCGTCCTCGAGCAGACCACCGTCGGCACCGTCGTCAAGATGGCCGAGGACGAGGATGACGACGAGGGTGAAGAAGCAAATGGGGGTGACAAGAGCGACGACGATGAGGACCTGTTCGGTCTCATTACCGTGCTCAATTTGGGAAGATACGGGGTATGCTGCACAATTGACTCTCTAGTGTGTCTGATTAGTTGATTCTCTGGCGGATTTCAGACTGATCACCTTGTTGCTGCTGCTGCTGCCTTGCAGGAGAACCGTTGCATCAAGGATCTTAAGGAGTATCTGCTTGCTGTTTGCGGCGACAAGGACACCAAGAAGAAGCTCAAGTCGCTGCTGGAAGACAAGGCATCCACTGTCGGCCTGCTCGTGTGCCGGCGCTTTGTGAATTTCCCGTATGAAATGGTGCCTAAGATGTATGATTCGCTCTTTGATGAGGTTGCCTGGGCGACAGAGGATGAGGTGGGTTATCAGTTTGTCAAGCACATTCGGCTCTGTCCATTTTTATATGTGTGTAATGAATTGGCAACTTGCATGTCTGAAGCCAACACCAGAACTCCAGGACTCCTTCCGATTCAAGCAGTACCTGCTGCTTGTAAGAATCTTGGAGGTGAGCTCAATATACATCATGTTTCCTTCTTCTTATGACGGTGCCTGCTTTGCTTGAATGCACAGAGTGGCATGTTCTGTTAATCAGTAGAGCCAATTGCGTTGGTCTGGTTCAAGTATGACCGTGCCCTTGATATTGAAGAGCCTCTGTTGTTTGGCAATCTATTCATTCATACCAACAAACTTGTCTCTGTCACTTTGTGCAGAGAAAAACTCCTCCAAAGCAGAAAGCAAAGAATAATAAAGATGAGGGTGAACCTGTTATCTACCCGAAGTTGGAGGACGAAATTTTCCGTGAGGTATGAAAGCATTCTGCTGGCGTGCTTGTTTTTTTGTGTATTTCTGTGACAGGTAATGACACTTCTTTCTTTCTTTGCCAGCTTAGTTCGTGGTCTTTTACCTTCCCAATTCGCGCAGAACAGTCAGCTCAGCAGGAGGTCAGTTGTGCTTAATCTTTCGATGCTTTATTATGTCTTGACATGTACTACCTCCATACCGAAATATAGGACGTTTTGCCAGTTTGATTAAACTGCCAAAACTACTAATATTCAGGAACGGAGGGTGTACATACTTATTTATCACGTGCAAGTGTGCAGCTGTCGGTGGTTTTACTTGTGTTCGTGGTGCATATGTTTCTTTGCTACTCCCTCCGTTCGGAATTACTTGTCTCGGAAATGGATGTATCTAGAACTAAAATACATCTAGATACATCCATTTTCGCGACAAGTAATTCCGAACGGAGGGAGTAGTTTCTTCTGTTCAGTAAGGATCCAACTGTGGAACCTTTAGGGTACCCTCTGACCCTCCTTAATTCAACTAAATGAACTAGAATTCACACTATTTATGAAATTCTAGTTCATTTGGTTGAACTAAGTAGGGTAGGAGGGTACCTAAAGGTTTTGAATTTGCATGCCCATGCAGCTGAGTGGTTTTTAGCGCGCGCGTGATTTTTGCGCGTTTGCTGGAGATGCCGATTCGGTCGCGCGCGCTAAAAAGCCGTTTTTTCAGGCGCGCCGCTTATTTAGCGTCTCTGTTGGAGATGCTCTTAGGCCTCTCCTCTCGCGTACATGCGCTGTAGCCTCGTCAATGAAAAAAATAGCGTGCTATGACAAAATAGCGTGGCCCTTGAAATATGCTATTGGCGTGCTATATCGCATTATAGCGTGCTATTAGTGAGACATTGTACACTGATTTATTTAGCGATGCATTGCTCAGAATGCTATAGCGTGCTACAGGCTGCCTCGTACAGTTGAACATGAGCTGAACATATTCAGTCTAACTCCATGGGAGATGCATTTTTTCGAGAACACAGTTACACAAATTTTCTGTCTCCCTGGCTTGCATGACAGTGTGTTATCACTCCAGTTCTGTAGAAGGAGAAGTAGATTATCTTCTTTGTAACTGGCGTAAATACGAGAGTACCTATGTTTTCTTTATACGCATGCCTGCCTGGAGAAGGATGCCCAATACGTAAGAATGGTTACATTGGGGGGTAATTTCCTTTTCCTGCAGCTTGTTCAGAGATAAGACTTGTTAGTACTCCCTCCATCCGAAAATACTTGTCATCATAATTGATGAAAAGAGATGTATCTATAACTAAAATATGTCTAGATACACCCCCTTTTATCCATTTTGATGACAAGTATTTCCGGACGGAGGGAGTACCTAGCTACCGCCACACTGCTAGCCGACTTGTCAATAATCCAGCAACACAATATTGGTTTCTCATCTGGATCTACACCTTGCAACTGTAAAGTAGCTATCGCGTGCCCGTAGTAGCACAGCTAAGCTCAGATCGAAAGTTTAATCAGCAACTTTATCTGCCTCTCGAAATTAAAACATGCAGCTAAATGCAATCTTGTGTCTGCCCATGCAGCTGAAGAACTACAAGGAGATGGGCTTGGTGATGTGCCTTAAAGCCGAAGCGATTCCAAAGTTCCGCAAGAAGCTGGAGGCCTTGGTATGTGAATAGCAGGTCTCTTTGCTCATAGGCGCAAATGTGCAATCGCCACTCCCGACGCGCGACGAGGTTGATCTGTACTAGTAAAAGGAATGATTTATGGACTAGTCCATCTTTTTTCATGTAGTGCTAGAGGATGTTCTTTCATGGAGGGGTCCATTGGTTGGCTCAAGACATGATTTGCCTTTTGAGCATTGCATAATCTGCCCCTAAATTAACTGTGTTAACAGTTTTCACCTAAAACAAAAGGAAATTAGGAGCAGTGAGGAGTTAGCTTTGCTAGCGGCCCATCGGGCTGCTCAACACAAAGTGTGTGCACTGCACACTACAACAAACTGGTATACAATATTATAACCCTAGGGTCCGAATGCAAATGCATTTATTATTTTTTGGCTTTATTTTACACGACATATCACGATTGCAACAGCAACAACCAAATATATACAACAATTGAGATTCCAAACAAGTACCAGTAGTACATAAAATCAAAATCAAAATAAATAAATATACATATGGTTATGCATACACATACATACATACAGTAATAAATATAAATATATATACACACACATACATACAATGATACATTAATTGTATCACACAGTAAATATATTTGGAGGAGACATGAGTGACAACAAAAGGCACGATGCACTTTCCTTCACCTTATCCTGCAGCTCTTTCTTCTTGTTTGTAGGGCAACCAAGGCTTGTACTAGTAGATAATATGACAAGGCAGAGTCCGGCTCTATGGACCGCTTACCTCTAGTATCCCGTGCAGTTGGTCCTTGATATGCTCGGGCACCTCCTGGCCGTTACCCTTTACCACTGTGAGCCGAACGAGGTTCGGCCGGACCTTGCGAACATCCGACACAACCTCGGGCCATTTGATTGTGCCACGAAGCCCTACCATCTCAAGGCATCGAAGGTTTTGTGCCGTGAAGACACATGAAGGGATCTCATCGCCTGTCAAGTCCAAGTGGTGAAGGAGACTCATCTTCCTCAGAGCACTCTCAAGTGCGGCCCCATGTTTAGATTGCTTGAATCCTTGCAGACCCAGTGTCCGGAGTTTGGTCATCTTGTGCAGTGGGCAATTCCCTTGAACCCATTCTCCTGCTGGGGCAGGTTTTACACCCCATAGCGTCTGCAGCTCCTCCAGTTCTTCCTTGATGGATGCTGGAAGTGTGAGCTCGTCTGCAAACACATGGCGCAACGTCTTTATCTTCCAGAAGGATGGGTGAATCTCCTTGACTTGAGTCCCCGTTATGTCTAGTGTCTGCAAGTTGAGCAGGCTCTTGATGCTGGAGGGAAGCTTCTTCAGGTCCTTGCAGCCACTAACATTTAGGTATCGCAAGTGTACCACGCGACCAATCTCATTCGGCACTTCCTTAATCCATAATCCATGTACAGAGATTACACGAATGAACTTGGACCCACAAAGAAACTTGAGATCATGTCGGCGCTTCTGGTTCACTCCTTGGCCGTCATTGCTCCGGTCTTTCTCCTGGACCCAGCATATGATGGAACGTAGCTTACAGAACTTGTTGGTGAATCTCATCATATGTCCACCTTTGAAACTCATGAAAGAGAGCCGGCGCACCGATGGTGGAACAAAGACGTCATGCATGCCATGAACATCCATGAATCCAGCCTCGCGAGCCTCTGAATGGAGGAAACCATAGAGGCTTTGGTGAACGACGACCTTCTCAATTATGCCAACATCGTTCATCTTATCAATATGAACAAGGCATCTCAAGACCAGTTCCTTGAGGTAGGCGTGACCCAGCTCCTCCAAAGTCTTGCCCTGCTGCGGCTTGATGAAACCCTCAGCCATCCAAATCCTCACAACCTCATCAGTATATATAGTTGTGTTCTTTGGGATGGCGGCCAAGTAGAGGAAGCAAGACTTGAGGTCATTTGGAATGTCTTCAAAACTTGCCCAGAAGACCCTCTCGATGGTGGTTGTTCTTGTGGAGAGCTTACTTTTTGTTATAGGGCTCATCTGCCACTCGATATGCACCCCCTTGGACAGTACAGATTCAGTTATCTTGTTTTCCTCAACACCTTGTGCATCTTCCATTCTTGGTATAAGCCTGAGCTGTTGCAGCACTGCTTCCCACTGCCCTGGCTTCTCCTTGAATCGGAGGAGTCCAGCCAGGAGCACTATAGCCAGAGGGTAGCCCCCAGTTATATCGTACACAATTTTGCTGTATTTGCTCATTTCCCCGTTTTCCTTCACATCGGACAATTCTTTCCTCGAGGCCCTCGAACAGAACAATTGCCTACTTCTCTTTTCATCCAAACGGCCCAACATGTGGATTCCATTTATGCCATCTTTGTTCATGGTGTTAGCATGCCATGCTACTTCTTCGCTCTCAGTGTCCAACACGAGCACAACACGGCTACCATTATTGTCATCTGGTAGGCTCACCCTCACACAGTTGAGGATGGTTTTGGAGCATATGCCTCCGATAATCACCAAATACCTCTTTTTCTTCAGGAGGTGTCGGAGCTTATCAGCGATATTAATGCCTTCATTTGGATGATGTTGTGGTGCACTTTCACATGCTCTATCGTAGATTTCTTGGAGGAGATCTTCTGTGGTGTAATCTGCCGGCATGTTGAACCAAACTACAATTTCAAACTCATAAATCACATCAGTATGTCCGATGATAGCACATAATAGTGTTTTCTTTCCGACACCACTCTCCCCAAGTATGGACACAAACATTTGCTGAGGTTGATCTTTATGAAGCAGCATTTTCTCAAGTGTCTTCACATCTTCATCCAAACCCACCGCGTTCTTATAACCATCCCGCCTGTTAATTGAATAGAGTGATTGATGCCAATTGATTAATTAACTTTAGAACGCATAGTGTCAAAGCATGTTAGATGTAGTACGCCACGTCAATACATTTGTCCTCTACAATTTTTTTTCATAAACAATTATAATTTTGCATAGCAGTAGCTTGATTGACTATGACGGTTATACACCTTCATTAGGCTATGTAAGACCCCTCGTATTTGGGTCAAACTTTAACCATGAATTTGAGTAGCAAAAAAAATGCTATATGATACAAAAAGTATACTATTAGATTCGTATTCGAAGGAAGTTTCCGATGATGTAATTTTTGTTACATATAACTCACATTTTGTTAGTCAAATTCATGATAAAATTTTGATTCAAAATACGAGGGGGCCTTACATACCCGAATGGAAGTCGTACTTACACTTGTTCGCTTGCATGAGTCTGCAAAATATATAAATATGGGATTCTATGCGTATTCTTGTTTTGAGTGGCGGGCACTACAGATCAGGTCTAACAAGACCCCTCATTGGAGACGGTCAGCCAAAACTCATTTCTGAAACAACTTCCACACACGCATGCCCAATTGTGTGTATTTGGGAAGAGGTGGGCCAAAAAGGCTAGCGCGCCCAGTGCGGCGGGCACAACTGCTGACAAACACTCAGCCCAAAAGACCCATATGTCAAGATGGCAACGGGGACGAAACCCACCAGGTTTTGCCTTCTCAAACCCATCCCCACGAAAAATTCGGAAGCCCGTCCCCGTCTCCATCACCGTATGCGGGGCTAGCCTTTTGCCTGTCCCCTGAACCCATCGGGTTTTCTAAACCCACGGGAAAATCGGTATATTTAAGCAAACATAAGGACTGGAGTTCTACCGCTTAGAACTAGAACTCTACCACTTGTGCTAAATGCTGATTCTGAGGCAACCGTGCTGGCCGGAGTTGCAAAAAGATCACATGCTAGCCGCCTCAAAGTTGGATAGCGTGTTCCACCAACTTTCCACCAATCTAACACACTGAATTTGTTTTTGGACAATGGAACTAGCTCATCTTCCAAGTAACCGTCTAGCTCAGATTTCATCCTAAAAGACGTTGGCCATTTTTTAGCAACACGTTCATTGAAGAGTGACATAAGGAATGGAGCTCGCAAAGAAGAGAATGAGCAAGATGGCTGTCCATGATCATCATCACTCTCAAGATTGTATTCCTCGAATACGTTTGTTGTAGTACTTTGACGGGGATGGCGGGTTTCGGGTTCGGGTATTGTTGAAACGGGTTTAAACCTGTGAAACATGTTGGGTTTTATACTTTACCTAACAACAGCCCCGCGGGGTTAAAAAGACGCCCATCCCCGTCCCCTAATAGGGTAAAAACCCACGGGGACGCGGGTTTCGGGGCCTCACTGCCATCTTGGCCCATATGCGATGTGAGGTGTCACATTGCTAACACATATTATTGAGTGTGCAGGTTTTAAGTTGGCTCATTGCTAACCCTTATCACTCTCTCCAGATATGAACGATGACTGCGACATCTCTCTCTCTCTCTCAGCCCCATCGCCACCCCTCCACCTTTCGTTCGCCGCTCCCCTCTACGTGGTCGATCCCACTTGCCCGCTACTCCTCCATCACAGTAGTCTGCTCTTCTCTTCTCTCCACCTCTTGGTCGCCGCCCTCCCACCTCTTAGCCATGCATTGATGGATCTCGACCATGACATGGAAGCACTGTACCACCTCATGGATCTCATCGAGATGGTGCAGAAACTAAATATCTGCCTAATGTCGACTGCTAGGTACCTTCCTTGGCGCAAGAAATAAGCACGGGAGTCCTTCAACGGCTATGTGGTTTCTTTTTCATTATCGATTTGTATTTTTCTTCCAACGGTGTATTATCTGATCGTGATGCACATCCGTCTTTAGATCCGCTGCCGGGAAATAAGTGTCCTCGAATCCACCGCAAAGAAAACAAGAATCCTCGGATCCGCCGAGAGGAGACCATGCTAAAATACTAGTAGTTGCTAAACGGTGTCACGACGAACCAAGTTCCTAAAAAGGATGGCCATGCTTCGATGCTGAACTGAACACTCCTCTAGTAGATCACCTTAACAATTGAGTGGTCTACAAGATGGCAACAATTGGATTCTCTATGTATTATCTTGGTTCATATATGAATATGATCTATTATTTTATCTTTTGGATGACTTGGTGTGTTA